AACCAAATCAGCTCATAAAGTATTATAAAATGTTATTTTATTTAAAATACCAAAGTATTTTCCTATGTATTATCTCATTTTGTCTTCACAATATCTGTTTGCAACATACTACTAGAAACTAGTAAACTATAACATAAAGAATGAGAGTTACTTATTCAAGAACATCAAGCAATATTGTAGGCTTCTGTCTCACAATCCACTAAACTACTTTCTTGTTTCCTTCTAAACATCTGAGTACAGTTTTGGCAAGAAAAATGTTGGAATGAAAAACTTGTACTCAATGGTATTTCAAAGCAATGAGCTTATTCAAACAACCACAAAATAAGTAGAAATGTAAGAACTTGAGAGCTTGACTGAATTAATGCTATCTCAGAAAAGAAGAAAATTGAAATGCCTCTGTGTTTACTCATCCAAAAAACCACTGCTAGTCTGAATGCATATTTCCAAATTATCAAAATGAGAAAAAGCCATATATTTAAGGGAGCTATACTAATGTATATAGGAAAATCCTCCCTTAAGCTACCAGATTTTCCTTTTCCTTCAAACTGAGATAACAGTACATAAGCAGTTTGAAATAATAGGAGCACTCTTTATAAATTATGAATGGTCCAAAACCTAAGGAAAGAAAACTAGAAATCACATCTTACCTCCTTTTCCATAAAGTCAAACTCCGCTGCACAAGTATATAATAAAGTATCAAAATCCTTATAACTGAAGAATTTTGATGTTAATAAGTTGCCAATATGAGCCTAGTAAGAAATAAAGTGAAGTACCATTAAGCCATATATTGTAATAATGCATTTTAATCTTAATAGTATCTAAAAATAGTCTTCACTACACTATCCACTGTTCCCATACCATGCTTGTTTCCATTAAAGAACAAAGTGCTGTGTGCCCTCTAACTTCACAGTTGCCCTCTAACTTCACAGTTCCCCACTTTTTTTGCTGACCAAGTGATAGCTCCAATAACACCCTACCTTGCACACTCATCAATATACCAAAGGATTTTACCCTTGGGTTTTGCCTGCTCATTGTGGTAAACCTGGCAAAACAGGCTAACCAGCACCTCCTTTGCTGGAGCCTACCAGGAGGTGTTGGGCTTGGGAACACATACAGACCTTCTGTCAATCATAGAGGGACAAAGGGCTATGGAGTAAAGACACAGAAATATTAACTCCATATTCTGGAAAGGGGATTGACAAGACTACTTGAGCAAAGCAGAAAGAGGCAGGCCTTGGAATAAAGGTACCTTTTTGACCAATAATCAACTCTGTAATTCTTTACATGTTACCAAGCACTCTCACGCTACCACATTTACCTGCCACAGAAAGCCATACAAAGAAGGTGGAATTATTTTCACTTTATAAATGAGAAAACTAGGGCTGAAAGACATAAAACATTTGCAGAACTTGAAAGTCCATCATTGTCTGAAAAAGCAAAGACCAAAAAAAGTGGAGAAATTATATTTAAGAGAAATCATAACTAAAATTCTACATGATATCTACAAGAAATAGAAGGTAAGAGTAGGAATTAAAGGATGGTGGGAATGGTATGAAACATTTCATTGGTCTTGTTCAGGGAAGAAATGTATGCTTATAAGTTTAAGAAATCAATAGGAAGAATATATAGCACCTAAAATAGCATAAGTAAACAAATCCCAAATAAAATGGAAGAAATAAATCCTGGTATAATGATCATGGCCATTATGTATAAAGAGCCTAAATTCACTAATTAAAGAACAGATGCTCAAACTGGATTTAAGGGGGAAAAATCCAATATTATGTTATCACCAAAAGACGTACTTTATGCAAAAAGTCGAAAACAGGATAGATATTCTAGATAAATGTGAAACAAAGAAATCCAAGTTAGCAATTGTAATGTCTCATAAAACTGAACTCAAGCAAAACATATATAAACAGAGACAATGAATAACATATGCTAGTAAAATAAACAACAAAGCAAATTATAGGTGGTATGAACTTATCTACAGTTAACAACATAGATTCAAAGTACAAAAAAGAACAATTCATAAAACTTATAGGAAGAAATAAAGTGACAATGTTCATTGGAAATGTTAAACATTGCCCCCATAATAGAAAAATCAGACAAAAGTTAACATACAATTGGAATAATATAATTAAAAAGCTCACAAACAGAAAATATAAAGTTCACAAAGAGAGAATATACAGTATCCTTGAACACAAGTAATATATTTTTTTTAAATGTTCGG